CATTTTGGACAGAAGTGAATCTGGAATCCATGTCTAGAAGGGCCCTGTCCCAGTACTTCTGGCCAGGTTGTTTATCAGTAGTGGAAAGTTCTTGGCTTCAGTGTTTTTCAACAGCATCTTTAAATGCTGTGGGGCCAGATTCTGGTACCCAGGCATGATGTGAATGAAAGGCAGGCTGGAGGGAGAGTGATGTGACCCTCCAGCATAGACCAGGCAAGCTGGGTGGGGTCAGAGGGGCAAGCACTGCAGTCAGGGGTGCTTTCAGTAGGGAGTCTAGCCCACACTCCCTTCCTTGTGGTTACAGGCTCTGCAGAGAACCTGTCAGCAGCTGACTGTGGGTGTGTATGTCCCCTCTTCACCCCAACCCTTCCCCTGTGGGGGAGTGCACTCCAGGGCTGCGGTGTGTCACTCGTGGCTTAAAGAATTTTTGTCTCAGCAAGTAGACAAATCTGTCTCAGCCCTTGTCTAACCTCTTCCTTCCCTCCTCTGCCTCTTTGCCCAGACTTACATGTCTAAGGTGGATCCCAATCCCTGTGACTGGGAATGTGGGAACTTCCTGACTTCATCCTCAGGTGGGGGACTCAGAAGATTCAAACAGGGCAGATCTGTTTTTGTTTTTTTTTTTCTCAGGAAAGTGTTTGTGAGCAGAAACAATAACCCTATAAAGATACATGTTGCTCTCCTTGACATGGCAGAGCATTATTGGAAAATTCCTGAAAATATTTCTGCTGTCTCGGGGAAATGTGGCTCTGCTCCACTCCTTTGTCGTGCAGACAGAGAGGATTTGCCTCTCAGAGCAGCTCCTTTTCTACGGAAATATTTTTTGGTCAAATCAGAAACCTCTAAGTAAGCTGGACTTCTTATCCTGAGAGACTGCTCAGGTCTTCCAGGGGATGAGACAGAATGAGGGGGAAAGAAATCAGGGTGTGACCATGCTTTAAGGAACCTGGTCTATGTGAGGTGTCCCTGCCCATGGTAGGGACTAAGAACCAAATGACCTCTGAGGTCCCTCCCTACCCAAACCTCAATGACTCTATGATTCCACACCACTTGCTGGAGTTCTCCTGTAGAGTGCAGGAGAAGTCCTTCCTTCTTCAGAGGCAATGTCATAGTTCAGGTCAGGGGTGCTCAAGGGTTACCCTTGTTTTGGTTTCTATCATGGAGTGGGCTTGGACTGTCCTCCCCGGCTTGCTGTGGGATGGCACAGCAGTGGGGCTGCCCTGATGGCTTTCAGACCATCACTCCACATGGACGGCTTCCAGAGAAAATTGCTTGTGCTCCCCTTCCACCTTTATGCATTCCTGTAGAAGAAATCAATTTGGCCAGCCCTCATTAAGTGCTGAGCCCCACATTCTGTATGCAAGCAAAAATGCTCTTCCTGTCTGTGGGGCTTAAAGTAATTTCGGGTTTACTTTTTGTGCCACTGGTGCTAGGTAGAAATTTACTGATGAAATCACCTCCCCAGAAGAGGACATATCAGTTTCCATGTTTCTAACAGTGGATCTGATGACCTTTTGCAAGAACAGAGCTGAACAAAAATTCAATTATGAGCTAAAAGAGGGTATTAGAGCTTCGAAAGACATACAAAAGCAATGGGTGTGTACTTTTGGAAGGAATCTGTGCTGTATCCGTAAGGCAGCCTCTTATACTTCACGTGATGCAGACTGCAAAATGTCACCAGAGGCATTTATTGTGAAAGTGGCAGCCCCCAGAACTTTGCATATATGTTTTTTTTTTCCATAGTGTCATATGACACGAATATGTGAATGCCTTCTAACTCTTTGTAAGCATGAGGAAAGTGTGAGCGGTGAGGCAAGAAAGACGAAGCTCTAACAAGATTAATTTGAGTGCAAGACAAAACACATTTGTTTGAAACTAAAAAAAACCCAAACAAAAACAACAAAAACCAAAAAAACAACAACCCACCTTGAAATAGGTTTCTCTTGGAATGCTGCTAAACATGACTTTATGAGTAATGCATGTTTGTCTGCTTGTCTGATTAAAACACATGGCTTTTTTGCTGCTTGGGAGCTTCATTTGACTGGTTGGTATGTACATGACAAGTTTCCTGCAGGAGCTGGTGCAAATACAGACAATAAACATTTGGAAAAGGACAGGTTTTAGTCTTGAGTGGAGGACTGTGAAAAAACAGGCAGCTCCCTTTTACACTCCTCTTCATTATAATAGAATCACAGAGTGTTTGGGGTTGGAATGGACATTAAAGCATTAAAAACCATCTAGTTCCAACCTGCCGACCACGGGCAGGGACATTTACTAGTAAAGGTTGCTCAAAGCTACATCCAAACTTCAATACTTCCAGGGATGGGACACCCACAGTTTCTCTGGGGGAACCTGTTCCAGTGTCTCACCACCCTCATGGTAAAGAATTTCTTCCTAATATCTAACTTAAATCTGCCCTTTTTCAGTTTAGAGGCATTTCCCCTTGTCCTGTCACTACACATTCTTGTAAAAATTCCTTCTCCAGCTTCCCTGTAGGCCCACTTGAGCTTCTGGAAGGTCTCCCCAGATCCTTTTCTTTAAGCCTTGTCTTGGTGACCAGTATAATCTTGCTTTATTGGAAGCAAAAAAGAGGTTTAGTTCCTCTTACAGCCAAATGTTATGCAGAGTTTGAATCTAGTATCTACACAATAGGAGGTTAGATTTGGTGAAAAGGTTGATTTCAACCTTTCATGCTTCCTAATGCTCCAATCAACTTATGGGGCTACTAAAACCTTCTGCTTTTCCACAGTACTGGTGTAAATTTTGATTTTTTTTTCCCCTATATTTTGTTTTAAAAATGTGTGCCAGTTGGCTGATTGCTCTGGTGAACTGAAACAAGCCCTGCTATACCCGGCCTGCCCAATTTGGTGAATTATTTAGTGAGAAAGGTTATTCATTCAGCAGAACTGAGCAGTCCTCCAGTTCATGCTGTTTATAATTGAAAATGATTTCTGAGTGAGTGAGTTAATTATTTCTTGCTGTCTCACTACCCTCTACCTATTTTAAAACTGTGTATTGACCTTCAGGAAAAACTGAATTTCAGCCCTGTGGTTACTAACAAATGCTGGATATTTTAGTTGGGGTGAATATTTACTGGTTTTCCTAGGAGGTTCAGACATAAATAAAAGTTTAGAGGACCTCCGGGTAAACATGTTCATGGTTCAGCACTTTAATGTGTCAATTAGCTAACTAACACTGTCAATAAATTGGACCTGTCAAAAATAATAGCTTCCTTTCCAGTCTTCACCTCATGCTTTACCTGTCTGCTACAAGAAATACATTACACACCACCTAAAGCAGCATAAGCCAACTTTTCCATGCCTATAGCAAAAATTAACAATGCAAGGCTGCTGTCTTCAAGCCCGAGTCTTGCACAAATCACTCTCTCTCCTACATTCCAACGTGTGAGCCGTATGACAGTCACACTTATTTCATTGACTGTGTGTTTCTTGAGCAGGTGTGCTACAGAAGCATGCTGCAAAGGAAAGAAGTCTGTCTGTGTGCCAGCAGATGTAGATAAATGCCAGTAGGTTGTGTTCACAGATGGGCAGCATAGCTCCCAGGTTCAGCCTGCTAAAACGGGGTGTTGTGTGCTACCAATTGCTTTGTTGCTCAAAGCTGTGAATCAGAGGGGGATTTAAAGCATTGTTGAAGCACAGGGCCATCATCCCAGAGCTGATACACCTTCAGCAGTGGCTAAAGGAGGTGGCAGTAAGGATTGCAGAAGGTGGCCAAGTGTCTGTGGTAGCTATCTGCATCTCAAAGCCCTGCCAGCCAGACACAGGTTTCTCCATCAGGAACGTATCCAGTCTCTTTTTGAGTCTCTAAAAACTTTAGTGTCCACACATCATGTAGAAAGGAATTCCACAGCTTCATTTTACAAGCAAGCACACCTTTTGTTTTGAATCTGCTGCCTTCTATTTTCATCAGATGTCCTCTAGTTCCTGCTTTAATATATTGTTTTCTTATATATTAAAACTTTTATGCGGGGTTTGGTGGGTTTTCTTTGTTTATTTATTATTACATAAAATTTGGTGTAATAGGCAATGACAATGTGGTTTAGCTCTCAACATTTCCACCCACTGGAGATCAAAGCAAAAAGGATGAATACCCTAATAGTGGGAGTTCATTTTCATTTTAAATGAGATGTAACAACAGGTTATGAAGAAAAACATCTTGTGATGGTTATTCAGCTGTGTAAGATTGCAGCGTTCCACCCCGTAAGCAGCGATATGAGATTATCACAGTCTTTCAATTACAAGATATTCTCGGAAGGGAGAAGAAGCCAAGCAGCCCATTGTCCTGTAGAAAGGTCCTGCCCTGGGAGGTCCCTCTGGGAGCAGTCCCAGGCAGCACAGCCAAATTGTTTGTGGCTGAAGCCAGGTGCAAGCTGTTTGTTGAGGTTTAAATATGGCAGTGATTTGTTTTATCCCGAGGGACTGCTGCTGTCCATGGAGCTGAGTGCCTGGCTGACTTCTTGCAGAATGGGGGCCTTATGGGTGGATCCAAATCAAATCAGTGGCACATCCAGGCAGGCTCAGGAAAGCTCAGGACCCCAGCCAGGGTCACTACTGCCAGCCTCACTGCCGGTCATATTGTACCTGCGATGCACACACACAGCAGAACTGATGTAAGGCTTGCTTTGAGTGCACAGGGTGGCTCTGAGACCTGTGACAGCCCCTGATCAGACCACATGGAGTTGCTCTTATAAACCTCATGGGTACAACCTCTTGCAGATGCTATACCCAGTGCCATGGGATAATGTTTTGGAGCCCTGAGTGCCATAGTATGATTCTCATGAGCTGGGCACACGTGATGATGCCCTGTGAAGGGCACACATCAGCTAGAAGAACACACACAGTGGCAAAGTGATACTGTTGCAGCCAAAATCTGGTTCCATTTGCAATAATGAGTGCCTGATGCTGCTCAGAGGGAGAGCAACTATAGAAAAACTTGTTGTGGTCCCAGTTCTCATATTAGCCTTGCTCTTTCTCTTACAGGTTACATCCAAGCCTGCAGAGGATTGATGATCTCCGCTGTCTGCCTGGGCTTCTTTGGTGCCATTTTTGGACTAGTTGGCATGAAATGTACAAAAGTTGGAGGGTCTGATCAGACTAAAGCAAAAATAGCTTGCTTAGCTGGACTGTTTTTCATACTGTCTGGTAAATATACTTTATTTCTATCCGTTTGCCTATTTGAAGTAATTCCGGAGCCGCTTCTTTTCCGCAGAAACCTGTGCACAACTCTCCATGACTTCATTGACTTCAGGGTCAGGCCCAAAGCTCTGCTGCCAGCTCCACTGAATGGTTTTGTCTTATGCTTTTCAGGGTTGTGCTCTATGACTAGTTGTTCCCTGTATGCAAACAGGATTACGTCTGAGTTCTTTGACCCTTCTTTTGTTGCACAAAAGTAAGTACTTTCCTATACTCATAAATCAAACAAGTAGACCTCATGTTTCCTACTGCACACTCAACACACAGAGTCTGTTGAGACAAAGAGCAGCTGCTTCTTCCCTTGGGCAGAGGAGAGTGGGCTGCAGTTTTACTTAATCCCAGTTTCTAACTGGAGCAACCACGTGCTGAAATTCAAGGAACAAACACTTTGCTGCACAGTGATTGCTCTGCAGTCCGTGTGCCCAGCTCTACTGTGGGCTGGCAGGGCAGCTGGGGTTAATTGGGAGTGAAGCCTGCCTGGATGCCAGAGGTGTGCCACAAGAGGATAGCACGAGACAGAGAGGCTCATTAGCTTCATCATTCAAAAGGGAAGGGAGAAAAGTATTTCCTTGAGCTTTTGATAGAAGGTGGCTGCCATAAAGGTGTTGAGCACTGCTCAATCTTGATTCCTCTTGAGGAGAGGTTTCTGCAGGCTTGGTGCAATTTTGCCGACAGATTTTCAAATCCAACTGACTGAAATTTGGATCATAAACCTTACCAACACCCATGATCATATAAGCACTAACATAAATGCTTTGCCTATACTTGTAATTAAATTTAAGAGAGTGAGTATCCATAAAATTTTAGGATCCGCACCAGAGATAATAAGCATCCCTAAAGACTCCCTTTAAAGCTGTGCAAATTCTCAGGTCCTGCAAAAGCAGCAAACCACAAACCAACGCTTGGATTTTGGATTGACATCTTAACTACCAAATCTGAAAATGTTGGCTGTAAATTATTGCATCATGGACTTTCCTGTTTTGCCTTCACACATGGTGTAAACTCTTTTTTCAAAGGCAATGATTTTAAAGTTTTCTTGGCAGTGATTCCAGGATATGTCAAACATTGGCTATACATTTCCTTGAGACCCAAATAAGGGATCAGTAAGGAACCCTGAGCCTTTATGTTTCACTTTGACAGAAAGAAAATAGCCTGAATAAATAACACTAAAGGGATCTACATCTGAAGTAGGGCTGACACTGCTTTTCCTGTCTTGAAACAGTATTAGTTTTCTCCATAATTCCCCTATAGCCTCTGCTTATTTGATGCAGTGAAGACAGGATTGAAAGACCTCCAAAAGAAAGAAGGATGTGAGGTTCTTTGAAGAAAATGGAGCCTGACTATATAGAAAGAAGTTTATTCATGAGGCTTGCTGTTCTTAGTGAAAATTACCATGGTTGACAGAAGTCCTTTTCCTACACTGTATTCCGACCCTTTGCTGCAAAAGAGCAGGCAAACCTCATGGTGGAATTTCGCTGTGAAGGAATGAGAAATCCAGTTTAAATATTGAAATAATGGTAGTAAAACATCCTCTCCAGAAATTACCTTTTGTTGTGGACAACCAGCATAGCTCAGCTGTGGGCATACATAATCATGACTGCAAAGATAAAGGCAGAGAGGAAATCCCGAAGTTTTAATTGGAGTTGTGCACCATGCATGTAGCTCATGCAGTGACCTTGCATCAGACTGAGTTAATGGTGGCATTCAGCTCCTTCCTTTCTCAACCGATGTAAAATTTCCATTTTGTTGCCATCTCCAAATCCTTACTTTGTTATGCATTGCAGCTGCATTTAATGTGCTGGTATATTGTAGAAATTTGGAATTGTCTCTTCACTGAGAAGGTTTTAGCCTTTTAACCTTTTGCCTTTTACTGCATGTTTCTCTCCTGAATTTATTCTGGCAGTGTCAGCGACAAGCTTGAGATGCTGTTAGTGGGAAACAAATGACACAAGATGTTCAGCACCTTGTGTCAGTCATCAGGATTTCCCTCCAGCCTTCTTTACTACTTTTAATTGAATAAACTCTAATTCTTATAGTCTTTCATTTTTGTCCCTCGCCACAGTCTAAACTCTCATAACATGATTGTTCTTATTGATAAATAGGCTTGTTTGTCCAAATTATTTAACTTTTCATATAAACATTGATATGCTACTGAAGATCTTGAGTTTTCCTTGTAAGTACCAGTATAAATCAGAAGGGTTGTTTTCTCTGTTTGAAGTTGTGGAAGAAAGACCAATCAGGACAGCACTGCAACTCATTAACCTGGCGGTGTGGCAGTGACCAGAGAAGGGCCATACACACAATCTGTTTAATCATGGTATAGTAACAAATGTTGCTTCAAAAGGTCAAACAAACCCAGCTACAAAGGCTGAGCCCCATGTCTTCTGTCCCAACTAGTAGGTAACACTCAGGTACCCCTTTTCTACCCAATTCTGTCAAATATAGTCATGATTTCTTTCTGTACAATTGAAGAGTTTCAGGGAGGGAAGATGGCGCTTGGTCTCCTTAAATCCCTCAGTCTCTGGTCAACCATTTCGTGTTGTTAGACAAAAATATGGAAACTCGTGTTTCCCACTTTCTAGGCAAATGTTCTTGGCAAATAAGTTGTTATTGCAACAGCCTTCCTGGTTCTTGGTCCGGCTCTGTTCTCCAGTATCTGCATCAACTTCTGTGGGGAGCCTAATCCTGGTCCTCATACCTTAGGTGTGCTCTGGAAGTCCTGTAGGGATGGAGGGCTCCCCAGGAGGGGGCTTATCTCACATCTGAGCTAGCCCCTTTGATCTGCTTTTACAGGTGATTTTACAGGAAGAGGTGCTTCAAAAGTGTTTTAGAAGTGTAATTTGTGTGTATTTCTTGCATGCTGACTATAATGGGATCTTAGGTGATGAGCTCTGATGTAGATCTCTGCTTCTAATGAGAGAACCCCCTGTTCTTGGAGAAACAGAAATCTCCTTGAGTTATGTGAAAACAATAGCAAGGTGGTTGGAAATGTGAGCATAAATAGGATTAAAATTTTAAAGGTTTGGCAGATTTTGAAGTGAAACCAGGATGGGGTGGAGAGTTTTCCAGGGTAGAAGGAGCCATGGTTCCCAGCTTAAATTGGGTGTTGGGTCTGTAAGCTGGTGTTGAAGGCGGGTTCTTAGGCAGAGTCAGTTTATTTCAGCTTGAGCTTGGTGTCTCCAAATTGGGAGCCTGAACAAAGGAATCCCTGGGTCTTTATCTCCTCACAGCCTGTGCACCTGATCCTCACGTGCTCTTCACGAATCTTGCATGTGCCTCTTGGTCCAGTGATGATTTATGGTCTGGGGTCTTCTAACACCTCACTGGATTCTTTTTGAGTATTTCTGCAGTGTGGTTTTTTAAAGACACAAATTTTTCAGAACAGCTGACAGGTATTTTCAGTTAGGTATTTTGGTAATATTAGGGCCTGTGCACATGGAAATGTTCAGAACCAGCTGAGAAGTGCAGCTACACAGTGTTGCAGTTGCACAGGCAGGCTGTCAAGCAGGGGCTTTTATTTGGTGAGGTGGCTGCCTCACCACAGCTTACAACTAATCCATTTAGTAGCATCTACTCGAACAGCACAGACTCCTGTGTGATGATTGTGGCTGGATGGGGGACAGGGGCCTCTGTTTCCATGCAGGATCCCAGAAGCCCGGAGGAGATAAAGATCTCCTTAAGGGGAAACTGCAGCAGAGAAATAGCAAGAGACACACAAGTGTGTTCTAAAGGAATAAGAGGAATAGGAGACCTGGAGACTGTTGGGCTGCAGCCTAATGCAGGTCATCCTTGGATGCTTTAAGAGTGGTACTCAGGCAAAGAACTGGGGAATGGAGCAGACAGGGAGCATCCATGCTTTGCTGCTTGTCTTGAAGCTTCACCACTGAGGGGAAAGAATCTCTTCCCAATGCCCTTCTTTCCCTTCATTTAGTACTGTTGCTTTAGAAATGTGGACTTTGTGGGATGGTGCTCCTACAGCACCACTGTCTCCTCTTAGAGAGGGGAGCAGTTCCATGCAGCAAACAGTTTGTGGCTGGCCCGGGCAGCAGAGGTGGGGCCATTGCTGGTGACTTAGAGGTCTGCCCATGGATGTGCTGGGGAGCAGTTTCTTCCAGAGAGAATCCAGCCACAGAAGAAGGAGAAAGATGCTGGAACATGCACCTGTGGGTGCAAATGCTTTCACCAGACACACCTGTGTATGCATATGCATACACTGCACGTATGTGCATGTATATTGCATATTCATGTTATGCACATGTACAAACCCTCATGTTTTAAGCAGGCTGGTGTGTGGATGATGAGGGACGGAGTCAGACATCCCAAGAGCCAGAGGAGAAACTTAAGGAGAGTTGTAGGCAGAATTTGTAGTCTCTGGCCCAGCAAAAGCTCCAGTCCAGTTTGGTTTGGGAGCCAACAGGAACAAAACTGAAATGGAGGAGCTGGTGCCGTAAGCAGGTCAAAGAATGATGTAACCCCACAGCAAAGCAATCCAGGAGGAGATGCACAAAGGCCAGGCCTTTCCCTAACCCTAACCCCTAATCCTGGCTGAGCAGGGAGAGAAGCATTGCCCAAGTGTACTGCAGGGACAGAGTTTGCCTCCTGAGTCAGAGAGAAATCATGAAAACAATGTGGATGAATGGCAGAGCTGCTGATTTTGTGGTGATTAATTTATGTGTCAATGGGAAGTTATTCAAGAAAAATACAACATTTAGTTATTTTATTCTGGAAATTACCCTCTTAAATCCATGCTCTCTTTTATTAAATACATTTACTGACTTCTTGTAGGTATGAATTAGGAGCAGCTTTGTTCATTGGATGGGCTGGAGCTTCACTCTGCATAATTGGTGGCATTATATTCTGCTTCTCAATAGCTGAAAACAGTCATTCTACAAGGTAAAACACAAGTTGTACTCACTGAAAGAAATCAAAACCTTTGCATTTTTACCTGCTATATGTATGGAGTTTGATTATTGTTCCAAAACACTTTGTAATGAGCTTCTGAAAAAGACTGTGCACATAAAAGAAAATAAGGGGATTTAAGGATAATGCTTTGTCCACCATTAATGTAATTAAGAAAAGCTATTGACTCAGAACAAATACTTGTGATATGTATTTCATAAATATTCTACAGCTGCAAAACCATGCATTTACTGACGTAGGAAAAGTGGCCAGGTGGCTTTACAGGCTTGGATAGACAAGTTTCTCTGATCTCAAATCACCAGATCAAAAGCAAGTGGTGGTGGCAGTGGGACCTCCAGCAGCTGAAGAGGTATGCTAACAAAGAGGAACAGCTGTAGGGAGTTACTGGTCACCTATGATCTGCCACAGTTTTCATGATTAAGCCTTAATTTACTTAGCTGTGAGGGAGGGATATGTTACAGGAAAGTGTAAAGACAGATGCAAAGACAGATGGAGTGGCAATGTTTAACTAGAATGGGACCACACAGAGTAGGAATGTGCCCCTTCCCCTGAAATTTGTAGTTACATTCCCATGCATTTCTTCTAGCTTTATTACTGTAATGCCTGGATGCAGAGATGACACTTGTCTGTAGGATGAGCTGTAAATTGTTTTTTTTTTCTCTTCAGGAGGGGGTATGCCTATAATGGAGCCACATCTGTGATGTCTTCTCGTACAAAGGTCCACAACAGTGTCCCTGACAAATCCCCACCCAAGCACTTTGACAAGAACGCTTATGTTTAGTTGCACTCTTGGAAGACTCAAAGCGTTTTTAAACGTGATTTTGTACGTTTCATTCAGAGTGATTCCCCTCAGCCCAATGTACTTACCACTAAGACAATGACTTTTAAAAATATTAACTTGCAGCTTTTTACATATTGATGTAAATTTTATTATATAATATTTTAAGATTGATGTTGGTATTGTAAAGTTTATACCTGGCAATCATGAGCTGATATTGCATTCTTGAAAAAAAAATAAATGAGGTATTTACTAATTCAGTTTGTCATGTCAGCTGCTTATGGGAATGGCATCACACACATCGTATTGGCATACTGCAGTTCAAAACCTGAGCTAGTGTTTTTTCTTTGTCTGTCCACAGAAATGTGATGATTTTTCAGGGAGCATTTGTCCAGGTCAATAAATGATTGGGACAACAGTGTGAATATAAAAAATGAACAGTCCTATTTAATAATGGCACAGTATAGAAAAAGTTTTGTATCTGATATTATTTAAATTACATTAGATCTACAAAGTCAAGATTCTTTTTGGTTTACATTATTTTTTTGTACTTCATTTAAGTAGAAACACTACCGTATTTTTTTAAGAAGGCAGCCAATATGGACAAACCAGAAATGTACTTCAAGTACTTCTGCAACGGCAGGTCAGTGCTTTCCTCAATGTGGCTTTACATGGTATTTTTTTTTTCCATTTGGTGTCCTTTTATACTAACAAAGACCCAACTCCAATACAAAAAAAAAACAACAACCCAATGAACCAATTTCCCCATATAGGAGGCATTTAATGATGATTAGTTTTAGAGGTGAGGCTTTTTTCTTTTCATTTGGTGTTTATTGTAAACCATGGTTGAAACTTAACGGTTTAATACATGGATATATTTTCTTTAAAATGTTGACAATTTTATATAAAGTTCATGATAAAATACAAGAAAATAGGCACTAAAAATTGTATAAAGTAATATTCTGCAGTATATTCTGTTCATTGGTTAACAGGCTTTCTTGCAAGACCAATTTCAATCTTTAATGTAAACATTAGAGGCAAAATATTCACCTCAGAGAAATGAAAGAGACTTTCACCACTGAACTCATGAGTGTGCTGGTTTTGGCTGGGATAGAGGTAATTTTTTTCCCCGTGGCTGGTATGAGGCTGTGTCTTGGATTTGTGCTGGACACAGAGTTGATAATAGAGATGTTTTAGGTATTGCTGAGCAGGGCTTGCACAGAGCCTTTTCTTTTTTCATACCACCACTTCGGTGAGGAAATTGAGGGTGCACGGGAGGTTTGGAGGGACACAGGTGGGACAGGTGACTCAAAGTGACCAAAGGGACATTCCAGACCATGTGACATCATGCTCAGTATATACAGTGGGGGAAGAAGGAGGAAGATATTTGGAGTGATGGCATTTGTCTTCTCAAGCCACCATTACACATGATAGGGCCCTGCCCTCCTAGGATGGCTGAACACCTGTTTGCCCATGGGGAGCAGTAAATTAATTCTTTGTTTTGCTTTGCTTGTGTGTGTGGCTTTTGCTTTCCCTATTGAACTGCCTTGATCTCAACCCACGAGTTTTCTCACTTTTACTCTTTCAAGTCTCTCCCCAGTTCCACAGGTGAGGGAGTGAATGGGCTGTGTGGGGCTTGGCTGAGGTTAAACTACCACAAAAAGAGAGAAGAATTAATTTGTTTCCAAACAGATATGGCCGGTATTGCATATTTCAATATTCTTTTTCAGAGTCAGATTGAATGACACAAGAGCTCTGTAAACAGTATTCCTTGTTATTACAGGACCAATGAGAAAAGTTACTGGGAAACACTTGACGTTTTCACCTGCATTTTGAAACCCAGCAGACCCCAAAAGCAGGACCTCCCATCAGGAATGGAACAATTATATATCTGAAGAATCACTCCAGTCTGTCACAGTGACTAAGCTGCTTTTTAACGTGCTTGTATTATCAGCTTCATGAAGGCCTGTTAAAACAAACAGACAAAACAATTAATAGCTATTAATACTCTTTTGGGGATATTTTTACTTTGTATTTGTCTGTAAGGTAAAATGACATGCTATGTGAGCAAACACCTGTGGACTTCAGGAAGTCCCAAATTGCAACCGGTAAGGAAACGACAAGTGTTGATAATATGTAGATTGTTTCTGTCACAGAACATAAAGCACAGTACAAGCAACCTTACTTTCTCTTCAAAAATAACCAGAAGTATCTTAATGCAACTGACACAGCTTTAACCTTTACATACATGGAAACGTTAGGGTTAGAAACTACTATATAAATTATATGTAAGATTGAGGCTTTTGCTTTAGCACTAGTTCAAATATTTATCTCAGCCTGGTAAGTCAATTAGGTATCTTGAACAAACCTGAAATGTTATCATTCTCAAGACAAAGTGAGTTCCCTTCTCCCTTAAATTTGGGAAGGAAAAAAAACCTTGGATTTTTTTATTAATTTTTAAGATGAGGTTGAAATCTGATAATATTGTGGTTTAAAATCCCAAATTTAAGTTTGCATCTCCGTATATTTATTTGTGTGTATGGTTTATGTATCACTAAGTATCATAAAAACATGGTATTTATATGGCAAGGAACCAAACACAGAACTTTTCTTGTTCTTTTCTTACAAAACACCATCTATTGAATTACAATGTGTAATACACTGTACTTAATCCTCCTCTAGGTGGGTCAGCCACTTATGAATATGTTACCTTCCTCCTTTGGCACACTTTTCTTGGGAAGGCCCCATGCATGTACCACAGATGCACCATTGGGCTCATTTTTATGAACTGTCATCGCCTTCTGACCTCTGTCAGCTTTCATCAATAAAATGTCTTCCTCGGCTGAAGAAATATCCCAATCGTCTTCATCAGCTTCTGTGAGCTAACAGGGACAAGAAAAAACAGGCATTTTTCCTCTGTCCGTTAAAGCTGTGCTGAGATCTTTCCTAAACTTGAGATCTTTCCTAAACTCAACAATGTGAAACTGGTAAAGAAAAATGCGCTGGCACATGGCCTTTATGAAATCTATCATCACAGTTTTAAAATCCACATTAATTAAATTACCTAAATGATATTAATTTGCTGTTATCGTTCTGAAACTAAAAGAGTTTTTTTTGTTTTTTTTTAAATCAGGAACTGCAAACATTTAAAGTCCTGCCAGTTTTGCATCTGGCATAAACCTCTGTTTTCAGGTATTATATGCCAGCCTTAAAAAAGGATTATCTTTTCTGGGATATTCCAGTGAGATGAAAGTCTTCCAACCATTAGAATGTAGATTACTTACATGAAAATAAAGATATATCATGCAAAGTGTCAGTTTATAAGCATTCTGTAGTCAAACTAGGAAAAAATATTGCAGTAAAGGCCTTCTCAATTTAAAACTAATTTATTTTAAAAAGAAAATAATGAAAATTAAAAAAAAGACATGGTGCTCAAAATTTAAATATACATTCCCCTCAAGACTCAGTGTCAGCATGTACAAAGAGATTTTAATTAAGTGGTGAATTTGCATACTAAGTTCACAAAAGAGAGTCAATTCAAACAGATGAACCTGAAGGCAATGAGTCCATGGTCCCTCTTACCTCATCTGCCTGAAAACTAAGTATCTCCATTCAGCTTTGGCAAAAAGAGCTACAGCATTTCCCTATTTTTCAGTCAGACGTGGTTTGATCAATCTGAGCTATTTTTAGAGAGCATAACTGTGGAAAGCAAACAATGGTTCCTCACAAAGCTAAAACCTTATTTCACTGGAGTCCTAGTAAGGATCTAGATGGTGCTTCCATTGCACAGAAGGAAGGTTCAGATGCTATAAGAAAACAATGTAAGGTATGTATATGCTAGAGAAAAATCAACAAATATGAACGTGTTTTGTGTCTCGAAAGTGGGGAAGAGACTGCAGTAATGTGTTATCTTGCAACATAACTCCAGTTTAACATTGCAAACTGTTTTTCAAAAACTGACAGATCTGCTCAGTGTGCTGTATTATTAACATACCAGAATTCATTATTCTCCTGTTTCAAATTATCTGCATTTGGAGGGTGTGGTAATGGGAAAGTCAGTCACATATATTGAGAAATGCTGGAGGAAGTGTTTCCTCGAACATTCAAGAAGTCCCAAATGATTGTTAAAGAATAAACATGTCAACTTCAAACAGAATTCAGTTTTGATCAAGTGTAAATACATGGCACCAATCAAAACTGCTTAACAGTTTTATTAACTCAAAGACTTGTATAAAGACATTAAACTTTAAAATTATTAATATTAAACATATAAGTATGGACATAAATATATGCATATAATTACCAAAGCATACAAGATAGTGTGTTCTTCTGTAAAGATTCCAGAAAAAAAGTAGCAGTGCCTGCCCTGCTTTCATAAGCTTATTCTGAACTCACCCTGTCCATACAGGATACAGCAGGGACTCAATGTATTCTAAATTAATTATAGCAACAATAATTTTCATAAAAGGATGGAAAGGTGTGGGTTAGAAGAGACCTCAAAGATCATCCAGTTGAACTCCCCCACCATGGGCAGGAACACCTTCCACCAGACCAAGCTGCTCAAAGCCCTCTTCAACCAGACCTTGAACACTTCCAAGGATGGAGCATCCACAGTTTCTTTGGGTAATCTGTTCCAGTGCCTCAGCACCCTCACAGTAAAGAATTTCTTCCTAATATGAAATCTATATCTACTGTCTTTTCATTATAGTCTAATTTTCTGTCCAGAAGGATCTGTTCCATGATCTTTCTGGGCACAGAAATGAAACTAGCAGGCCAGTAGTTCCCAGAGTTTTCCTTCTTACTTTTTGTAAAAATGGATTTATTTTTATACGTAGTCAGTGATTACACCCAGCTGTGATGACTTTTCAATTATCATGGAAGAATGGTTTGGCAGCTATATCAACCAATTTCCTTAGGACCCTGGGAAACATTTCACTGGGTCCCATGGACTTCGTAAGTTCAAGCTTCTCTGGGGGTCTCAACCTTCTACCACAATAGGAGGGATTTAATTCCCTCAATACTTGCTTAAGGTTTCAGGGGCTTGAAAGATGTGGGAAGGGAGATTATCAGTGAAAAGTACAGCATTTTTAAAACATAGGTTTTAAGGTTTATTTTGCTACAGGTCCTTGAAGCCCAAATTCCTGAACACTATGACCCACCATTTAAAGACCTTTACAAAATCATCCCGCCAATTTGACTGTGAACATTTTATGGTCTTGTAAAATCTGACACTACAAAGAATTTGGAAGTACTACTAGACAGAAAATTGTACTGTAATAGTCATGTCTGTGGTGATAATTTTGAGTCTTGTGCAATTTGCAGATCCCACACAGTCAATGAACAGCTTAGGTGTCATCAATGGAAACTACAAGGACACAGGCTAAATGTCATTATGCTACCTTCATAGCCAAAGTTGATTAAGACAATCACCCCTACCTGGAAAATTAAATAGAAGTGTCACTGTCTTGGGGGGAGTGATGAGTTTCAGATTATCCCACAGTCAGGAGGCTCCAAGGTATCAGTTTCATTATGGCTAACAGGGTTCTCAGTAATTATTATTTGCTAATTTAGTGAAAAAGTATTGTATTTAATGCTAGAACTAGTATCTGTCTGTCTACTTCAATCTAGAAAAAACTATTCAAACTGAAATAAAATCAGTGCTGTTGACTTCTCTTTTGGAGTAATATTTTTTTCCTTTTAAAAATTGTTCAGGCAAAGACCCCACATTGCAGCAAAATTGTTTACCAATTATAGAACTCTAAACTGAGGAGAAGACCAGGGCCATAGGAGCCTGAGGGGTAAAGAATCCATTGTGTTAGTATTCTGCTGGTGAACGCAAGCCATACTCAATGGACAGCAATAGATTTGATGTAGTCTGAAAGTAGTATGTTATTAATGTAATAATGCTGCATATTAAAAGTGATACCTTCAGTTCTTTCACCTCTTCTTTGTTAATAAATGCCTGTGTAACATTAATTCCTCCAGCTGGTTTGTTCTTACTTCCATGGTTAGAAAGACTCTCTCCAACTTGTTTGGTCAGTCTTTTAATAACTGTTCCTAAAATTCAGAAAAAACTTAAATTGACAGTTTCCATTCACAAGGAGAGACTTTACTGTAAACCTTCTAGAAATCTCCCCCAAAGTAAAAATAAGTAAATTCTCTCTGAGATAAAGATTGTATCTTTTTATGCATTTATATAGAAGAGCATGATACACATCTCTAAGTAATACATGAACAGAATCATACTAGAAAAAACATGAAGTGTTTACCTATATATATACACACTCAAGACTAGGTAATTTGCTTTTTTTATGTTTCCTAACACAAAAATATTTCCATGAAATGCAAAATCATGCACAGCTGTCACAACATCCATATAAAAATGCAGTGAAAAACCTTTAGAAGTTTTGGGAGGTGTTCCAGTTTCTCCAGCTCTGTTTTCCTCCATCCCATTCCTATCATTTTTGCCAGAAGGCTTCTGAAAAGCATGGACTATGCTGCTTGATGGTTTTGACTGCTTTTGCAATATCTCTGGTGTTACATAAGACTGTTTCATATCATCTTCATCAGCTTCTTCCTCTGAACTGAATGGTGGTGTTCTAAGGAAAACCACATACAACATGAGCACTTACTGGGTTTCAGTGTGTGCATCACCACATACAAATTTAAGTTTCCTTGTATTTTCCTTTCCAATAATTTGCATTTTTATTAGTGTGAAAAGACAGAATATCCCCTAACTTTTAACTATTAAAAAAAATTAAAAGAAAACAGGCTTCTAGTTAAACTCAGAAAGTTTAAACCCCAAAATGCCCTCTTCTACACACATGACTCCCTCCATTTATGTAACCCTCTTTACAAAACAAGAGACTAATATCAAACAAGTCTTGCCAGGCAAACACAGATGGGCTTTCATGGATTGGCAGGTAGAGCAAATTTCAGGGTCAAAGTATCTGTGCCACAGAAAGCCTCTTGTGACATCAGATGGGAATTTTTCAGTGCAAGTGAAGTGGCAAGGAAGAGGCAAAATAATATACCTGATGTGAAAGGAACATGGAATATTATATTTAATCTTGGTTGCAGTATAAAAATATCAATAAATTGAAAAAATTAGGTCACCAAAGTATCTAAATGCTTTTAACACAGTCAGAAAAAGCATCTAAAAGAGAAACTAAAGGAAGTTATTGTTCTTATTGAATATCTTTCTTTCTCAACCACAACAAAGAATAGATATGCTGAAAGAAAAACATGCCATCTTTCGGGGATTATAATAACACATTCAAATGGAGTAACACTTTAAACCAAAAAATGAAGTATGCAGCCCAGACAGTGTTTATGATTTTAGCTTAATAATAGTTTTGTGTGGCAAACATGTCACCAAAAATGTCTTTTTCAAAAAGTCAAAGGAACAAAACATACGTGATGCTAGATGTTTTTCTGGAACCTCCACTTCCAAGAATCTTCCTGGATCTAAAAATAATGAGACACGTTATTTCAAGACTGACAGTAAGCATAAAGTTTATATGGAAGTTATGTGAATTCTTACCTCAATTCTTACAACTGAGGAAATGTTCACATCAGCCACAAAAGCCCAAACCCATAGGACCATTATCTGAGGTATGAGTGATTTTAGAATGGCATCTCTTACTTTGGAGTAGAAGTAAACTCAGGGAGGATTGTTCTTTGTCCAGATGGGCGGACAGCTGATGGAGACAACTTTGATGGCTTTTGAGGTGTGGCAAATGAGGAAACTCCCAATGGATTGAACCTGTGTTTTTCTACAAGAAAAGTTGTCTATGTCATTCTTACAATCAATGTTTGTTATCTTTCACATTTCATTTCTACAATTAAAGATGTCTCTGCTGCAGACTATAGTTTCACAAAAAAAGGAGAGGAAATATAATTCTTTTCTTCCAAGCAGTTCTGAGTTACCATGCATTGGGTTAAAAAGTGCAGCAATTTGGCAGAAAATGAACCCCCTTCCTTTACAACTAGTCCTCAGAGGTCAGACATCTTTCAGAATTGAGCCCTTGGTTATGCCTAGTGTTTTGACCCAGGAAATTAAGAAATTAAGTTGCAATTGTGATTGCAATTGTATTGTTAGTGCTATAAACAGCTACAATGAAGTTAATGTTTCTATATGTATAAATGTGTGTATATATATATATATGTATATGTATAATATCTGTGTATATATATTTCTGGCAATCCAAAAGAACCACATATGTTGTATTTCATAGACTGGCTCTTTAGAATGTGACCAGACCTATGGTTAACAGACTGCTCATGCACCCTGTGTGAGGCCTGTAGTTATGCTTTTGCAACACAGTGATACAAAAACAGTTGGAGAAGACCCCATGGAGGTCGTGTGTGCAACAAAAATGGGGAAGAATGGGTTAACAGCCTTAGGTTTAGGCATTCCTATGTCCAAGTGTCAAGGGTTTAAAGGAGGTTAAGTTCCTCAGAGCCTGATAGATTAAACAAGCCACTTCTGACACCTTGGAAAAATAGAGTGTGGGTTGATAGATTAAACAAGCCACTTCTGACACCTTGGAAAAATAGAGTGTGGGTTGAACCTGTCTATACTAAAATAATTACAACAGATAATGGGAACTTTAGGATATTGGTGCCAACATCCCCAGTTTCTCCATTATTGCTCATCCCTTGCAGAGTTTGCTCAAAAAGGGAAAGTCATGGGAGTGGACTGAGTAGCATATTGAAGCAGTTCCAGAGCTTGGTCCCACAACCCCCCTGTATTCTGTTACAGCAGAATGGGGTTCTGTTGAGAACCTGGCGCTTACTGCAGCCTGTTTCACACTGGCCCTGGTGGACCAGAGAGATTCAGCCCAGCTGCATTTAAAGAGACAGAACAAAGATATTCTGAGCTGGAAAAGAGACTTTAATCATTAGTCCAAGCAGTTACACAAGTTGAGCCACTAAAGGATAACCTGTCTGGACAAACCCCAATGAAAGCTGTATTGCTTTCCCTTTCCAGGAGGGATACTGGGAATGATGCCAGCACATCTTCACTGAAGATCGAGTTAACCACCTAAGGATTTGTTATCCTTGTTGTAGAAGCAGCTGCTGCTATCATGAACGAAATTTGGTTCACACATCAGCAAGCTTGACCTGCAGGATGGAGACCCTCACCTCTATCTATGGAAGCTAATCAATATGGTAACTAGAACACATTCTGCACCACACACACGTCTCACTTGTGAAATTTACTGTGACAGCAAATATAAAGGAAGGAGATGAGGCCACTTTGACCACTGAAATTAGAAAGGTAACCTCAATGCCACTGAATTTGAAAGGGAATTTCAGTCCTCGTGGCATCTAATCCAATACATTAAGAAGTAAGATGAACAGCATCAGTGGTCAGACTCTCTCTTCAGATGGTCATCACAGCTAGAGGAATTTTCAATAAACTACTTAATCCTGTTGTTCCTACGTTAATCCTGACTCTAATATGTTTTTCTTTGGTCATAAACATGTATCTGGATAATGATCTGTCAGAAACATAAGGTCTGGGTGTGGTATAATGAAAGGTGTGGGGGAGAGAAATTGCCCTATAGAGACCCCCCAAAAATCCATTGAACAGGTGTGATAGCGGCACCAAACTGAAGGTGTGACTGTAGTCACAGGGTGGATAACATAAGAACAAGGTGTACAGCAAAAAGATACATGATGAAGGGACTTCCACGAAATATACCATGTGATGTGTAGCTAAGGGATTATGTGGCCATCATGGCATGCTGAGGGGGTGTTAGGTTATCAGGCAGAGGCTGGATGACCCTTAGCACTACAGTCAGCCAGGGAAGAGGGATTGATGCTAAGGTGTCACTGTTGGTGAATCTGGGATCACAAAATGAGACCAGACTCAGACTATAACCCACACCGCTGGTGCACCTGGGAACATGATCAGACTTACAATACTGAACTAGTTAAAATCAGAAATTAAGCTCAGCCATTACAGGCCCTTCAGTTCTGTTAGGATCAGCTGGAAAGCAAGGGGTTTATTTGCTGCCGAAGTGCTACAGTCCCTACACAACACTATGTATCTTGCCTGAGCTAAGATATTTGCTGTTAAGAGCATATTGATACCATGATGAGAACCCTCTAAAGAAAACAGTTTAGTTGTCCATGACTATATAGAATATTGTTATGGAAAAGCAGGAAAGCAGCTATACAGAAATGCTGTTATATAAAATTTTAAAATAGCAGTTATAAAATGTAAGACAATGAAATAAACCCCAAAATCCATTGTAACCTTCACCAAGAACATGAGCACAGGAATCGGGTCTTCTAGAAGATAATGATTTCTCTTCAACCCGAAAGCCAACTTGACGTTCAAGATGCTCTCGAATTCCAAGCATGGTGGGCTCCTGCTTCTCTTTGCGTTCTCTGGCACTTTCGATTGCTCGCAAAATTTTATTTAAGCGATCACTTGATATTCCACGAACACCCTAAGAAAATAAATTGTATTGTAAACACTCTTTTACACTTCAGATATCACAGAGCTTGTAGTAAAATCGCAGATGTTGGTAGTATTGCTCACAAGTGTAGACATATAGACATATCCTCCACAGCTGTAATTTGATGGCCACCCTCTCAGGTTAGTGGTTAAGGAATTGCAGTTGTTTAAAACATGGAAATTTAGCTCTGGATATTATAGGTTGAGAACTCTAGTACAGGAGTGAAAGAACAGAAGAGAAGTGGTACAAAGATTACCCTTCTTTTAAATAATTCAACATCTTACTGCTTTAATTCCCAAGGATTCCAGCTTCTCCTCCAGAGCTTGCTCCAAAACAGCTCGCAATTCTTTAGTTAAAGAAGGATCAGACTTCAGAGCATTTATTAAATAGTGGTTACTTCTATCTGGTTTTAGATCACTTTTCTCAGTTTCTGAAATAAGAAGTAAAATGCTGTTTAGAGATATTTTTAAAAATCCACACTACATGAGACAAAAACTGCAGTGAAGCATGCATTCTTTAGAAACAGCAGAGACAGATACATGCACTTTTCATCTACATGGAATTACGTAATTTTCAAAATATTGGGCTAGCTTACAAAAGTCAGCTCACTTGGAATCTGTACCTCAGCACCTTGTAGCCACCATCACAAGTAACTTTTATTGCTCTTTACAGAATTGCTGTAGAGATACTCTGCTAAGTATGTGGCAACAAAGATCTTTACTTTTAACATTGTACTTGAAAAGTTCTGATAAATAAAGACTATCTTCTGATACTTAAGCTTTCTAAACATGGTGTTTCAAATAAAAGCTGAATACTAGCAAGAATCAGAACAAGAATATTATAAACTTTTCCTCAAGAAAAGCTTCAAGCAACATGATGTTCTCTTGATAAAATCATCTACTGAAATTAAACCTTTGCAAAGCTGTAACACTTTCAAAAGTCTTGGTAAAGACAAAACCTTAGTCTGGGGCAGACTGTTTCACAGAAAATACATAATGGATAACAGTCATCTTCAAAACTCTTTCAAGGACAAAGTTCAGTGTCGTGTTTTCTTCTATGCCAGTCTATGACATCATACATACTCAAAAGCAGACAAAGAAGTTCCTATCTCTTTCCCTTGCTTTAAGTGTCAATACTGACTCTTATGTCAATAAAGAACTCTTATGCAAGAAAAAAAGAATCATCTAGACAGATTCTCCCATCTAAAATGAAGACTGTCATTTAAGTCAGGCCAAAGTATTACAGGGTCATACAGGAGAGTAAAGAAGCAAAACACACCCACTTGGAACCTGTCTATAAAGTGTCACTGGCAAGAGAAAATTTTTCTGAATGCCACATAAAGTAAATGAAGCAATAACTAGTGGAACTATGATGGCTGCTTCTGTCTGGCAGTGGTCAGCAAAGCTGGCAAAGGGTATAAAGCATCCCAGGGAAAGCATGTAAACCACACTCCCAACTCCCCTGAAATACAAGGAGAATATTGGGCAGGAGTTTGTCTCTTCCCAGTATGCCTTACTCAATAGACATGGACAGCAATTAAGGCATAATTCTATATTGTGATTTTCAAACATTTTATTTTGAAACAAATGTGTCACTTTTTCTATTTGTAAACAATGACAGCTTATTAGAAAGCAGTTCCATTTGCTTTTCATTTTTCTTAAAGGGAGAGACAAGCACCCTAAAGAAGAGACAAAAAAGCCTCAAGATGCATAAATGACATATTAGGCATATTTAGGTTTTCAGGAAGTGGCTTCCCATGAGATCCTGGAAAGAACTATAGGTAATGAAAACCGAAAGAAAGTCTAGCTGCCATACTATTAGATCTGTGTTGAAGAAGACATAATCAGGCTGAAATCTCATCTGATTTTGGGAATTCTGTGGACAACTCAGTCCCTGACAGAGATAAGATTAAAACTGATTTGTCTGGAGAACTGAGTCCTAGAAGAGGCAAAAAATTGGTCTTGAGGAAACACATGGCTATCTGACTATCCCCAGACAGGACAAGATGACATTATGCAATGCAAAATTCTCCCAAAAAGCAATACATGAGACATTTTAAAGCAGAAGGCTCCCAGGAGCCTTCTGAAAACCCTGTCTATTTCCAATATTAATCCTTACAGTAAAATAGATACATTTTAAACTCATTTTAAAAATGAGCTTAAAAAATGCCTAATTACTACATACTAATAAGGGTAACAAGAGTATCCAACATTATCCTAATTAATGACAATATTAATTCTTGCTAAGTAACTCAAGCCAAATCCTCTTTGCCAGAACAATTATTTAAGGAAGTGTTTTCTTATTCAGCCCTAAATACTAGATTCAGCTTTTAAGAAAAGGGACCTTACATCTGATCCACTGTCTCAGTTCCTACATAATCCTAGAAAATTATGTTCTGAGTCAAGAATTTTCACAGTCTCCCTTACAAATGACTGTCATCAAAACCAAAAAAATCTTGGTCTGTCTTTTCAGACTGCATTCTTTCTTTTTCTCTTCTGCACTTCAGGTCATGCCTTTAGGCACAGAAGAAGAAACAAAGACAATCCATCATGAGAGAAGATGGCAAGCAAGAGAAACAGCAGAAGGAACGGCAAAAATGCAAGCAGTCTATTTCAGATTGTTCAGTCACTGGATTTGCCCTGGGGAAACCTCTCAACACACAGATGTATTGAAACAATTATTTTGTTTTCAAAACAGTATCACTCCTTTGAAATTTAAACTCACTGGCTGTAGGGTTCAAGACTGATTTTGGTTTTCACACACAGAAGAGATTTTTATGTTACTCAGCTATTTGGTATTTCACCTAAGGTACTATTAGCTGCACAGAAGAGATTTTTATGTTACTCAGCTATTTGGTATTTCACCTAAGGTACTATTAGCTGCATTCAGGAGAAGAATAGAAGGATGAACCAGAGCTTTCTGTTCTGTCATTGTAAATGTGGCCTTCTCCAAGTTCTCCTCAGAAGAGGCACAACAGCTGCCAGTGCCAGGCTATGTAACTTTATTCTGAATTGCACAACCCTGGCTGGAGCTGTGGCTGCTTATGGGTAGGTGCAAGCCAGATTACTTGTAAAAATATCTGTGATGCATTCATGAAAGCTGGCAGCTCCAACCTCCACCATTAACTTCCTTCCACCTGAACCTTTTATTCTCTTAGGCAGAGTTTTAAAAGGGAGTGAGCACATCTTGCAATAGTGTCAGCACCAAAAATTTCCTAGTGAGGGGCTTTTCCCCATCAAACATTTTTGCTCTGCTTAGTTCAAATCTCTTTAAACATATGGAATGTGCCTGCTTTGAAGAAGTTAGCTAGATTTTCGTAAAAACATTGAACCTGGATAAGGAAATCATATTTACAAGCAATAGCAAGCAGGAGACTGACACAAACCATGTTCCCACCCATATCACACAAATATAATGAAATACAATGAAAAATACTGTAGGTATCAAATAATATTTTTTGTTTTCAAGAAACACATGCCAGCATATCTTGAGCTGAATCAATCATTACCTTTTTCCTCTTCTGAAAGCTCCTCTATGGGCTCCAGCATATGCACCAAGGGTGCCTGCTCTAATAATGAAGAAGAACAGGAACACCAGACAAAAAGGACAGAAAAAGGTCAAGGTCCAGAGAGGGAAAGTCAGGAAAAAAACCACCACACTGATGTCAACTTTCTTTATTGCTGAAAACCTGCTTAACCATCACAAACCCACTGCAACACAACTCTTCACTGCCTTGAGGGTACATTTGTGTAGAGGAGACCCTAATACATAGTAACTTCAGGAGTGATTCTGTTGTCCAAAACAGGTGTATGGTGTCATCCCAGATACATCAGTTTTAAGCCATCAGTGCAAGGTTGATTGATACATTACACAACTTCTGGAATGGCACCAGGTAAGATATTTTTAAGACATCCTCAATGACAGGGCCACCCAGGATTATGTAAATCAATATTGTTATTAATTTCTCATAGAAGCAATTTTTTAAGATTAATTTAAAAATATTGTTTATGTGCAATTTTATACTAAAAGTTTAAAAAATACAAGTGAAATGGACAAAGTAAACCTCAAAAATATATGGAAAAATATATTAACTCACTATTCCAGGGTAATTAAGTACTGAGTCCATACATGCAAGACAGACATTTAACGTTTTTTCATATATATGAGATAATTACCAATAAAACCAATTTTAAAAATCTTCAATCACTCCAATTGAGTGAGATTCAGTGTTATCATCTGTTTTAAAGAATTCTTGAAATGTCTGTGCTGCAAACAGCTTCCGAAACACATTGAATTTATCATTTTATGGGCTGTCAGGTACAATTTGCTTCACAAAAATGAAGCCAGACTACACTTTATAAACTTCAGATTTAAGACACGCTTGAAAATGTTTATATGTAGACCAATAAGTATTCAGGTTTTTAAAATGTGAATTAATATTCACCTTCTACAAATTAAATTATATCAATGAAAACTAGAGCTTGAGTGCCTTCTAGGATTTACAATAAAAACAGATATGCAAACTGTACTTACAGCATTCAACTATAGGCATTATAAGAGAAAACAATTTATTGGTCACTATTTTGGGCCTACGTGCATTTGCTCCATCCTTCACAAAAAAAACTCTTGCACAAATGGTTGTTATGCTCTATGGGTAGAAGAAGAGAAAGTGATGCTGCATGAAGATGTTTTTTGGCACTTTTTGTACACCAAGTACAAACATGGATGCACTGTGATAGGAAATCACAGTGAAACAAGCATTTGGAGCTAAGTGACACTGCCACATCTCCAATATTCCCCAGGTAAAGGGGGTTAAATCTGATGGCATAAATACTTGGGGTATGGGAGCTGCTCTCTCCATGCTTTCCATGCCTGTGGTGATATTCAGTCTCTCACCTGCTTTCCTAAGTTTTGCTCCCACAGAACTTGTACTAAATAAGAAGTTTTAAAAAGATGCTTCTTACACCATCACAAGTTGTGAATAAGATGCAAATATCAAGATACCTTAGGAAAACATTTAAAAGCAAAACTCTGAGAGACAAATGGGCTTCTGGTCTTTCACTTTCTAAGGCTGTAAAATTTACCAGTGGCCAGAGCATTCCTGGGCACTGGAACACGATCCTCCACACTACTGCTCCTGGCACACTGCTGCCTTTCACCAACTATGATTCTCCAAAACAGTGTTCAGACACAGTTTGGAATCGTTCCCAAAAGCCTGAAATGTGTCTGTTTGGAAGGACGGAGCCTGAAGCACAGACAAAATGTTCTGGGAAGATTTAATTAAGTTGCATGGGCACTGATGCCTCTGAGTTTCTTGGCTGGACTTACCAGTCAATAAGGCAGTTGCTGTGTAGTTGGATTTAATCTATGCTTGTTTTACCTGTACTTTACCCAAAATGCTCTGATTAAAGGGGATGACTCATCTCTGCACAAGCCCTTGCCAAGTGACTTAACATAATAGGAAGATCCCAGTCCCCAGAACTCAGACCTGAAAATGGTCTGCTGATCGGGCATAAAGGTACATGCCTCTCTTCCTCAGTGTACCAGAAACAGAGGAAATGAAAAATCAGTAATTACTAAGAACAGCTGCAGGAGCAGATCCCAAATGCATTACTGTTATGTGTAATACTGTTGTTCACTATATGGTAACAGGGGAGATCAAATGCTAAGGCATGAGGGAGTGCAACACCTGAAAACACCAACTTCCCTGACATAAACAAGCCCTTTCTTTCTTTTCACTGTACACATATTCTAAGAGATATCTATTAAACATCACATTGGATTCACACTTAAGGAAAACCATTACTCTGGTTTATAGACCGGTGTGGAGATGATCCCCTTAAGGAGTCCTCTCCTTATGTTTACCAGAGATGTGCTCTTCTGGCCATCTGATCAGCCATATTAATTCTAGCCATCATTAAGGCCAGCAGTGCTGTGTATATCATCCCACATCATCCAGAGTATCTCTTTGGCCAGCTAGTATGTGTAGAGACACAGTTGTATCAAATTAATTAATTTCTTAGTGGATAATTATACCACTGAAAAATTATGTGCCCAGCACACTTTAAGAAAGAATTAAATACCTGTTTTAAAGAGTATTTGAAGACCATTTCTATACAGGTAGAATAGGAAAATACATGTATCAATAATGAAGGATTCAGGCTGTGTAAGTTTCATGCATATCATATATAATTTGTCTGTTCTTACCTACTAGTTAAAAAAACACAATATTCTGACAGTACTATTGGAAAAGCAGTCTTCTGGCCAACATTTAAAGAAGAAATCCCATCTATTTATGTTGAAAAAAGAAACACTAAAGAACTTTTAGCCTGAACAGAAGCAATAAAATTATCTATGGTGTAGTGTCATCTACAGTAAGCACTTTGCACTTGCAATGTAACAAGCTAGGAAAAACCATAAAATTTGTTTTTTTTAAACTACTGCATTTCTTGAAGATGTAAGGAATGCAAGCCATGGCTACACTCATAATATACTCCTTTAATTTATACTCAAATTACACATACAAAGAGCTGCCAGACCTAACCTGTGATATCTGTAATTTGGACCACTGTTTTTGAATTAATGCACTTCATATATTTTTTCTCCTAACTGATCAGCAGAAAGCCACATACTGCACATAAGCAGCAGAAATATTAATTTCAAACCAATATTTCTAAGATTTTTTTTTTACACTTACCTGAGGCCTCTAAGTTAGGAGCCTAGTCACCTCAGACTCCTTCAACAATCATCAAAGAGACACAGGCAACTCCAAAGAGCATTCAGATCTTAGTTCAGCTGAGCCAAACTCTGAAGGTGCCCCTTTTCTCTGTTTATTGTCTAGGAGAAGTACTTTAACTGTATTTTCCTCAGATGCTTCAGCAATGCCCCTAGTGATAGCTGAGCCTGGATGTCCACACCCTGTTTGTATACTGAAACATAGGTTTTAATGAACAATCTAATTTGCAGCTTTGCTTTTTAACTACCATCTTCAATTCCACCTAATATTATTGACCTAGCAAAGCCTAAATATTGAACAAGTATCAACATTTCAAGAGTAATAGAGGAGGCAAAGCTTAATTTTAAAATAGTATTAAAAAAAATAAATTGTAATTAATCTGTTGCTTTTTTTGTGAAACTGAAATAATCATTGAAAGTAAGAGCTGATATATTTGCACAAAACCCTACAGGAAGCTCAGAAATGTATAGAAGAATGTTCTACCAGGATGGAATTCAAGGAGCTCTACTAGCTGTCACAAGAAGTCAGGAATATTAACACAAAACCAACAGACTAACATAGTTGCTCTCCTACTTTACACCTAGGATAACTCACATTTGCAACCAGGGTTACCTTTTCATTACATAGATTTAAGATGTGCAGAATGAATACTAGGATGCAAAAGCTTCTGAGCGGCTTTGAAGAATGTACTTAAGTTCACATTAGAGAGCCTTTTCTAGAATTAATTAAAAAAAAAGAAGATATTTTATATGCAGGCAATTATAAGATGATCTGTGCTAAATAAATTTGTCTACAGAAGTTACCAGGAAGTGCTTTCCTTCTCATAAAGGCATGAGATGCAGCCATGATGTCTTAATTCAGTAAGTCAATCCCTTGAGGAGTCCTGAAAACTTCGGGAAAGACACCATAACTTCTGCTAACCTCCAGAAAATTAGGTAAGGCAAGTTTAAAAAACAATCCAGAAGGGAAGAAAGGGGACAGACAGAGAGACCTGCAGAGATAAATAAAATAGTAATCAGCAAAGGAATCTGAAGGGAACACCTTCTTTGAGGTTTCATAATAAACTGATGTTGAATCTTTTGTGTATCAATGGCAGGAACAGCCTTTTCTATCTTGAGAAGTTTCACGAGATGTCACAAACTTCATATTTGAAGCAGCAAGACATTACGAAAGATCTGAATGAGCTCATTTAAATTGTCAGAGTACAAAAAATACTAATGTTCACAGGGCTGTTTCTGCCCTCAGTACAAATGAAAGCAAATGCACCAAGTAACTAATGCTTGACAACCTTGGTAAGTCCTTAGCAGCCATAATCTCCATAAAACTTAAATTCAGGGCAATTGCTGAACAACATGCTGTGAGACTTCTTAGCCAGAACCAGAACTATTATTTTGGTGTAATGAGGCTGGCTTAAATGAAAAATAATTAATTGTTTAAAATGCTATTCCTAATTCTCTTTACTTAATATACTGTTACTTTTGTCTACACAATATTCATCCATGTAGTTTAACTCAGAAAGCTACAAGCAATGAACTACTGAACTTTGCATAACTTAGAAAGAAATCTTTCTATTATTCAAATAATGTTACCACAGAATAATTAGCAATAATATAATCAATTTTCCTTTTTAAAATAATTCTTGTCATAACCAATAGTTTAAAATGAGCACTACATGAGTTCTTTATTCCTCATTAAATTATTGAAAGCTTGATGTATAGTGTCCTTTTCAGAACTTTTTGTATTTGGTGAAAAAGAAAAATCGTCCACATTTTTCACAGACAAATTCCATTTAGTCCCCATGTGACAGGTTTAAAAACTAAGAGAAATAATTAGAAAAATACATTTTTTAGTTATAATTCAAATTAATAAACTGTTTTTAAACATTTTGCTTGCTAGTTTTTCACAACTTTACTACTTAAAGGGAAAATAAAGAATTAGTTGAGCTCAGAATATTGGTATGGTAACAATACTCTCCAATAATTTGCATACTGATTAAAAAACAAAACTATTTTCACAAAGTACAAAACAACATAAATATAGCTCCCTCGCCCCCCTCCCTGTCTAAAGGATATCACAATGCTGCAAGTTAAAATACCTAAGTAACAATCTATATGTAACCACAGATATACACGCTGGCAGAACAAGGACAGGATAACTGTCTATTTTGATTATCTCTTCTGTATTTTTACTCCTTGCCATTTGAAGTCACATGGAAAATACAGTATTTCAAGACTTGAAATAAACATCTCCACATGTTTCCCTACACAAATTCCAGCAGATGCATTTAACTATCCAGTATATGCATATATTAGATGAACATATTTCCCATTAGAAAACACAGATATTTTTCCTCAATAAATTTCATCTAAGTGCTTCAATAATATACATATTCTAGGAAATATTCTCCAATTATTTTAATTTGTTTTTCATTTATTCTTCTCAGTAGTGCATCCTTATAATTATTTCATAGAAATTCTCAACTCTGACATGCAAGTTATGTTCTTCCAACAAAACTACTCTTAGACCTATGATTTGACAAGCAACGTATCTGAGAAGAGTGAGTGTTAGATTTGAAAGTTCTGGATCTGGACCTATTAAAAAACCTTACCATGTAGGGTAACTGATGGACTTGATTTAGATTCTTGAAGACGCTCTACAGGAGTGTTCACTAAAATAACATAATAGTAAAAAAATAATTGAATTGTATTATAGTAAACAGTAACAGATACAGATTCTTAAATGTAGCAATATGTAATCACATTCATAAATTAGTTATTTTTTTACATTAATAGGGAAAAATAAAAAATTTACAAAGTAAAAACCATTTCATCACAACATAAAAGTATATCTCTATATATGCTTAATATTTTTGACACTTCTAGAATCAGGAAAAGAAACTACTAACTAAATCATCACTGAACTAGAATGCAATCATTCTTTTGGTCATGAGTGCATGTTGTCTTTGTGTCACAGGGAAGAAGTCTTGGCCCAAAGCTACTTAGCCAATACCAGCCTGACTGGGGCTTATACTCCCCAGAGAGGATCTGCAGCATCCACACTTGACATCAACAAGTGCAAACCCTCATAGATGTATAGATCATGTATGTGTAGCCTTGGAGTGAATTAGTAATTCAATCCTACATTCCTCAGATCAGCTTGGGGCTAGGAGCAAATCTGCCCATGTGCCATGGGCTTTTACTTGTCTGTGCTTCAGTATGAATGACTATGACCAGCTACAGATGAAAAGCTATGTGGCTGTGCTCTTATGAGGCCTTCCTCAAATTAAACCTACTCCCTGCTGTTTGGCTCAGTTCAAGCCAGTGCATGGTTAATACAGCAAAATGGTTTCCAAACTGAGATCAGAATTAATTCATCTGTATCACCTATTTCAATAAACTTCAAGTCACTGTAACTGCAGCATTAACTATATGGGTGTTTGTGGTGCAAGACAACATCCTGAAACACTATTATCAGATTTACCTATTTGTAATATACTTCAGTTGTTAAAGTACCACATAGACAAAAATATAAGAGTTCTTAACATTCTTTGAACATCTGTGTCTTAACTGACAAGTTAATCAGTTTTGTCTACTCTTTTAGTATTTTCCCTTTTGTGAGTTCTGCAGTCTAAGAACAGTCAAGCATGAAAAAAGGTAGATTAAAATTACACTTCATAAAAATAAAAAAAAATACAAAAAAAACCCAAAATAAAGTTGTTCTACCCAAGCTTTGTACATTAGAAGTCTTTACAGCTACAAAACATGATCTTTGTAAATCATGGCATGGAAACAGGTAGGTAACCTGTGAAAAACAAATGCATTTCCAGTACTGATTTTATTTCAGTATTTTGTTAGTCAAGTTGATGTCTATATTTGTTTTAGCCAGGCTGCAGAAATCAGAAAGTAAGTCTGTTTTTTCTTGCAGTTTGTACTCACCATCATATGTTTTAACACTTGGAGGTGGTTTTGTGGACAATTCTTCTATCTAAAGGAGAAAACACAAATACATGAACCAATAGAAATGTAAAGGATCAATATCTAAAACAAACATTTGGCATAAAATACCTAGTTTCAGCACTATTCTGTAACAAAAATTATTGGTTATGATTTGTGGAGAAAAATACTTCTTCTGTGCCAAATATATATTTTGTCCATGCTTAATGAATGTTTTTGCATTGTCTTAATGTCTTAATTGTCTTAATGAACTCATGCTTTTTACACCCTGATATTGCCAGTTATAAAATCAAATGAGAGTGGACTTATGGGCCACTTCAGCACTTTAGAGTTTCAATACTTTCTTCCTCAGCAATTCATGTAGCATTTTCCAAGCCTAGCTTCCACTCTGGGAAACACTGGAGTGTTTAATTACACATTGATTTTAAATGCATGAACAGTTCTCCTCTGTGCTTTACAGGTTTGTCTATTTGACACCCCAGGACAAGCACTGAACCGACAGAGTAAAGGAAACACATTGGCTATAATGTGATCTAAAGAAAACAGGAAACTTGTGAATCCTGTATCATTAAAACAATGTTCTGCACTCCAGTTTCCCAGAGAGAACACAATGAATTCAGACACATAGCCAGCGTCAGATGGAGCTGGCACAAGATATTGGACCATGATCCTCTTTTATTTATCTGTTTGGTTATAGCCAGTAGTGTCCCTATTCATTGTCCATTAAGTTTGGATTCTGCAGAAGTGTTAGCTATTTCTTAAGCCCTTCTATTTTCCAGGGATTGAGAACGTAAATCTGCAAAACTGTGCTTCACAAACACCAAACTTGGACTCCTCTGAACCTATTATACATCTGTGGTCATATTGTTTTCTTTCCAAGGTCACTTTATTGAAGGAAATTCTTCTATGATTAAGTCCTCCATTTCTCCAGCTATAAAATTTGTGGCAGTGGAGATGTAAAAGCTATTATTTGTCTTTCCATTCTTTAAGCATTCAAGTACAGGTTTAACATTAATCTCAAGCAAAATGTGTAAGATCAGATGTTGATTTACAAAGAATGCACCATTTAATAGAGGAATAGGCCACATAATCATGCCATAGTCTAAACTCCAGACTACTCAGATCTGCCCTCCTGCCAATCACCTCTAAAAATCTATAGTTATGTTTCAACAAAACCTTATTTTAGGCAAAACCACTTCATTTCCAAACACAGAATTGTAGACTATCTCAGGCTGGATGGTACCTACAAGGATCAAGTCCAGTTCCCTCACTGGACTACCTAAAACCTAAACCTAAGAGTATTGTCCAGACATGCCAATAGCTCTGACAGTACAATGATCACTTCCCTGGGGAGCCTGTTCCAGAGCCAGATCACCCCCAGGGTGAAAAACCCTTTCCTAATGTTGAATCTGAATCTCCCCTGCTTCATTCCATTTCTCCTTGTGTCCTATTACTGATCACCAGAGACATCAGCACCACCTCCTCCTCCACTGCCCCCCTTGAGGCTGTGATGAGATCACCTCAGCCTTCTCTTCTCCACGCTGAACAAGAAAAGTAACAACAGCTGTTCCTCCTAAAATGCCCTCAAGACCTTTGATCATCTTGTTTGCCCTCCTGTGGTGAGCTGAAATAGTCTGGTGTCCTTCTTATACTGAAGCACCCAAAACTGCACACAGGACTTGAGGGGAGGCAGCACCAGCACAGAGTAGAGTGGGACAATCACATACCTCAGCCAGCTGGAGATGCTGTACATGATACGCCCCGGAACAAGGTTGGCCCTCCTGGCTGCCAGGGCACTGCTGACTCATATTCAACATGACATCACCTCAAACCCTCACATCTCCTCCTGCAGCCTCTTGTCCCCTAGTTTGTGGGTATAACCAGGGTTACCCCATCTCAGGGGAGAATCTGGCACTTGGTCTCACCACATTTCACACGGTAATATTTTAAATAATTATTCTCACAGTAATGAATATGATACTTTATTTTTATTGTGAGAAGTAATGTATGTTCAGATTTCAAACACTAGGTCTCATTATGATAATTTTGTGGCAGACTAAATCCTTTTCACCATCAAAAATTTTTTGGTTTATTAAGCCTTTCTTTATCAAATGTATTTTAATTCCTGGCTTACATTCCTGTGTCTCTTATCCATATCTATTCTTACCTATCAACACAATTTCCAAAGCAGAACCAAACCACTCCAGCAATACTATTACAAACTGAATATTAAATATGCAATCAGAGAAATATCAAAGACTAATGCTAGATAGTGTTTCTGTGTCCTCTGCTCTCTGAAACAGAGTGTTTCACAAAACAGACCTGCCTCTTCTGACTAATAACCAGCTCATTCTGCTCCTGAAGCCTCTGCTCCAATTCTTCTATCCTCCTCCTGTAAAAGATGTTATTTCTGTTCAGGTCTTCTCTTGCTGATGTTTTGATTGTCTCAATCTGTGACAGTAGCTAGAAAGCAATCAGAAGGAAAGTAACATAATATTAACACTATACAAGATACTTTAACGCTATGAAGTCTAAACAAGCGCCATGCTTAGATACTTTTAACATTTTTTTTCTCATCAAAAACTTGATGTCTTCTATGACTTCACTAGGACTTGTATATATTATAAAACAGTTGTATGGATCACTTTTGAATTACGCAAGGAAGACTACCTAAATCTCAATACAAATAAAAAGACATATAAACATATTGCTGAGATTGCATAAAATTAAGTTTGCAGGAAAAACTATAAATCTATGAAAATGTTTTAATTATAAATAGTGTCCAGCAATGATACTTTAAGGAGGTGATAGGTGAATTTGAATAATAAACCACTAAGTATATTAACTCCAAATGTGGAAGAAAGGGAATGTTATTTAGGTGCACCATCCCAAAAGTAGTACTTACATTACTCCTCCCTTATTCTATTCTTGCACTGTATGTGGGTGTATCTTTAACTACATCCTTTTTGGGGACTGTTCCATGGTTCCTCCCCAATGTTTTCTTGCCAGAGGAGGAGAAGCATTGGTCAGACCACTATGATCTGCTCAGCTCTTACATGGGCACGCAGATGAAAGGAAAATTAAAGGAAAAGAAGCGAGAGAAACAAAGCAGTAAAGAGATTAAAAAGAAATGCAGATATAAAAAAAAAAATTGAGGAATAAAGCTTTATATAGTAAAACATATAAACTGATGCAAAATAAAATGCCATGGTGTTTTCTCCTGGAAAAGCTGAACAGATTCTGAATTAGAAAGCTACAACAGAAAAAGCAATAGAGAAGTGATAGGAAGGAGAAAAAAAAGACTGAGACATATGCCACAGGTCCATGGTAACAGCAGGTACAGGGTGGATGAAAGCTACATTTTGGCAAGTCAAATCTCAGCTATTCAGCCTAACCACCTAACACAGAAAATACTGTATAATGCAGTGCTCACAGAATCAGCTGTAAGTTCTTTAAAAGACAGACACAGTTTCAGTTTTCTGTCAGATTCTAAAATGATAAATTCAGTTTCAACCCTGGCTTTAACTGAAACACCAAGATCCTACCATCACAGAAACACAGAGGTAATAAATACAGCTAAGAGGACACACTCTTATAAACTCTTGATATCTGGCAGATACACTAGAGCAGATCCAGAATTACTGAAAGGTAAAGGAAAAAATTAAAGTCTCCTTTAGGTGTAAGTGGTTTGCTGTGTGACTTACCAGGGACTTTTCTGTCTCATGGTCATGACGGATGGCTTGTATTAAAGTTGTCCACTTTTTTTCCTGCATAGAGGAAATACATGTTAATTCTTGTTAACAACACATTTAGCTTGATATATGCAGCTCTGCTTCTTGTTAATAACACATGAGCATTTAGTTCCATATATGCAGCTTTACTTTTCTAAATAAAGCATGAATACCAAAAAGATGACAGTTTATATGAAATTTGAGTAACCCAGTATTTAATGCCTAGAAAAGTTATAAGCATGATTTACACATACAAGTGTGGTTTTCTTACTAATCACTCTAGAAACTGTATTTGCTCTTTGCTTTGTATATGCAGTCACTGTGAGTGAGAAATACACAAGCATTTTGATACATCTCTGTGTATTAACAAAAAGAGTAGTGAGAGCAGGTGATTTTCCCTTTAAATAATGTAATTTTGAGCACTCATTAACAACATATTTTATGTAATAATGACAAACCCCAAAATTAACATGAGTTGTAGAGTGAAGCCAATTTTCTTTGATGAAATAAAAAAAACAAAAACATAAAGCAAAACTGAGTTTTGCACGTCTTTGAGCAGAAGTGACCAAACTTCTGTATAATGTCAGCAGCAAAGACCTTCACATCCCAAAGACCGTGAAAAAAAACAAAATGCACAGATTGGAAAATCCTGTCAGAAAGATCCCTAATTTTCTTTTTCATTTTGGGAAATAGAATATTCCAATTTTTCTGTAAGTGGCCTCACAAATGACTAAACATAAATGCTTTATTAGAGCCTTCTGGAACTGAACTTTCACCACACTTGACGCTATTTTTGGCATTAAGAACAATGAAAATTTTACTTAGGGATTTCATATCCTACTCCAAGATGAACAAAAATAAAAAGAAAGCAAGTAATCTGTCAAAAGCAATACATTAAGTTACAGTGTTACCTGCTTTTCCATTAGTCTAACCACATTCGGATGATCCTGAGGACGCTGAGGTTTCTCCTCTATAAATTCATGGCTGTCTTTCAGTGTTCCTAAATTGGATTTTTGTTGCATATTGGACTTTTGTAATTCTAACAGTTGCTAATAGGAGGGAGGAATACAAAATTTTCTTTAAACACAGTTATGCATAGATTGCATCAGATACTTCCCCCATTTCTTGTGAGCTCAGCATTTATCAAATTTCACGTCATTACTAATATCTACATCTAATACAAATATGACTTGTAAAAGTACACAGGACCTAGCAGCTACAAAATATAAGCTGCTCTGGTAATGCCATGCAGATTTGTTTTCTGATCCAGCCACACTTTTGTGATTCTCTTGCTAGTGAGCATTTCCAAAGCATGTATTGAAAACATGTGAATTCTGTCAGGACCATAATGCAGAAGTTACTGTCCTCCATATTAACATAAGGATACCTAACATGCAGCAACCACAACAATATCTACTAACCTATAAACAGGTATTCAAAGGCTGAGGAGTAAAGAAAAACTGACATAATAGCTGAAGGGATCATTCATTCATACAAAACAATCCTTTAAAAAAAAAAATGCAACCGGAAGTTATATTAATAAAATACATGTATACAAAGATAAAATTATAGCTACCATTCAATCATTTTTCAGAGTTCTGCAGGAAGAGCTTTACAATGTCTATATCACATTTCAAATACGTAAAGTTCACTGCCATCTATTGTAAGGGATTCATGCTTTAAATGTTAGAAAATCTAAATTGTTTACATTTTCTAAGGTTGAATTTCTTGAATATAACTCCTTAAGCTCTTTCATAAACATATCTTTCACTTTTTCTATTTGATCAGCCAATTTCTCTCTTTCCTCGTCTTTCCATTTGTTAAATGATTGTAGAATCTCTTCTTCTTTTGATTTTTGCTGCTCACATTCCTGAAATTAAAAAAAATATATATTTTTCCTCACATTCAATACATATTCAAGCTCCTAAACTACATGTAGAATGCAGTCCCTTTTAGTATTTAGGAAATACTGTGACATCAAAAAACATTAAAACCAACAGTTTTTTTAAGAATTCTAGGGTAACAAACTCTACATTTTGCTAGCTGAACAAGTATACTTCAAAAGGGTTTTGGCAGTTCATTATTTTTTACTGAAAAACACACAAACGACCTTACTTGATCATATCAAAGACCCACTTAGTTCAGAATCCTGTTCCTCACAAAGGCTCTAAGTGTATAAGTAAGAAAGGCCAATATTGGGGCAAGCAAATGTGCATGTTCTCCTTCACAGTCTCTAAGTTGCCAGCTGTTTTCAGCTCAGAGAACTTCTGGAGCCTGATATAGTTCTGTGAACTTCATTAACTGCATAAACGTCAATATATTTTTCCTCATACACTTTGCAGTCATGCTCTGCCGCTGCATCAGCTTTTAACAACTGCAACAGCTTTTGCCAATGAGCTTCACAAGCTTCATGAAGAGCCAAGTACTTTTCTTGTAGTTTTTTGAATCTGGCTCCTGGTAGGTACATTTGATGGATTTTGAGCCCTGAACTAGAGCACAAGAGGGAATGATTCTTCACTGTTCACTCTGTATAAGTCATGACTTCACAGGTATCAGCATCTCACCCTCCATCTTCATCAAGTGTTTGTCTCTTTTTCAGACTGACCACTCAGCATGCTCAGTCATTTTAAATACTGACAGACCTTCTTTGTAGCCCATCTCCATAACTTTTATAGCTCTCTCCTATCCTTTTTGAGATGAAGGGAAGGGATTAGACTCACACAACATATTTAGGCTGTGGCTTGCACAGTGTTTTTTTCAGAATAATTGGTAATATTTGATTTTCTTTGCTAGCTGCTACTAACATTTCCCCAGGGCTATGTGTCACAAGCTTGAGACCTTGCCCTCCAGTAACAGCACTCAGCTCAGAACCCATTGTTTCATAACAAAACTAGAACTCTTTTATCCCCATATACATTTACACCACTTTATCCATTAGATTACTTCAACCATTCCACTACATAGCGATGCATTTTTATATAGTTCTCTAATTGTTTGAAGTCCTGCATTTCAGTCCAGTAGTAGTTCTCTTTAAAAAAAACCAAACCCAACAGTGACATTATGACACCTGAATTGACAGTGGTTGTCGGTCATGGCAGACAAACTGTAACCAGTTACACCACACATTTCTATCTTCCCCGAAATCCCAGAAAAACACAGAAGTTTTGAAAGCTTCTTGTTGTGTAAGACTGCAAACTGTAGCTTCAGGACATTTCAGGTAGTCCCCTTGCAGTTAGGAGTCACAGCTAAGACAAGTGACTTCAAAAGAGCCCCTAAGGCACCAAAAAATCTACACTGCACTGTTATGAATACGCCAAGTTCCACCTCATAAGCAAAACAATGTTTCAGGGACAGCAGAAATATGTTACAGATGTACTTCTCAAAATCTAGGCACAGAATGAATGAGCAGAATACCTTCCACATGTCCACATAGGGCCAAGACTCATTATTCTGACAGTCCCTGCACTTCTAAGTGAAACACTACCAGCTTTTGATTTGGTCATTCAGTACTTTGAAAATGGAAGCTGAACACTTCCAAGAAAGGGGGAACAAAAGGACTGAAAAAAGAGAAGCCTGAAGCTGAGTTCAGGGAAAAAGATACTCAATGTTTACAGAAGATGAGGCTTTCCTCTGAAAACAAAGAAGATCATCATCCATCACAGACTATCAGGTTGGAAGGGATTATCCTCCAGGATAATCTGGTCCAGCCTTTCTTGACAACAGCACAAACTAGACAAGGTGGCCCAGGACTTGTCCAGCTGAATCTTGAACCTGCTCAACACTGGGAAATTGAGTACTTCTCTTGTTTGACTGAACACAGTACAAGTGCTAATTCTTCTGAGACATTCACATTACTTAGTATGTTATTACCTTAGACAGCCTGGCCAAATTAGCCTGTTGTTCAAACTCTAACTGGGACTTGGTGAGCTGCAACTGCTCCTTCAGTTTTTCAATCTCATCCTGCAATTTTTCTGTATTTCCTTTCCTCTTCTGTTCTGTTTGAAAGAAACACTGATTTTAAAAAGGTTTGTTGAAATTTCTGGAACTGTAATACTTCCTGCAAATACATTTCTAGTGTTTCAGCAACATCTTCACAAAGTGTGACTTTCTTAGACCATTTCCCCTCCCACTACCATGATTCTCCATAGATGATTTTAAATATATAAATTCTCTGGACTGCTAACTTACCCTCAAATACTTGTACCACTGACATGTGAAATGAAATATTTACATGAAAAAGTATTCTGTAATTTCAAAGGACTCTAAGCAACACAGGCTTGTAAAAAGGATGTATGAGGGAAAAAAAGTGAAGTGCAGTTATTCAATCTCTTAGTTTAAGTTTATTCTTAATAACTTTTGTAAGGAGCCCAATTTACCAAGGATTTACTTGCCTATCATCTGGGAATCTGAATATTATTTCAGAAATAACTTCATGGGATATTTTCCACAGAGCCATTTCAGGCTAATCTTTTTATACAATTACTTCAACTGTTTCTGAAGCATCTTTGACTCTTATTTTTATCAAGTGTAAGGTGCACAAGAACTTCTTTCGTCTTTCAATATATTCAGACTTCCTCAGCTGCTTATTCAGACCCCTCTCACTCTTGCTGCTGCTTCATTTGCCTGACAAGCTACAGTTGTGACCTCATTAGATTCTTCCTACTTTTTCTCCTCCCAAATGCTCCTTTTTTCCTAACTTGTTTCTAATCACTGTTACTTGTCAATACTTGTTAATCCATAGCAATAAATCATAAGTGTGCAGCCTAGCAGGAAGGAGAGAAATTAGATATGAATGAAAAAAGCTTTGAGAACATTGTTTTCCAACCTAAACCTCTTTTAGTGAAGAGAGAAAAAAGTATGCAAGTTAGTGGTAAAGCAACATTGATTGTCATAGATGAAGTCAGACTGTTCTTAACAGTTTCTCTTTCTCACTACATTATACAGTCAGTTTAGTTCAGGAGAGGCTGATGCTATTCAAACTGATTGCAGGTGGGGTGGACTATTTCTGTATTAATAATTATTATATATTTACAAAATTTATTTTCCTTAGTGCTTGTTCATTTTACCCATGCCTTCATAACATACATGCCTAAAGGGAAACTCTGCTTTGAACTGTGCTACTGGCTAAAGTTCAACAGAAAAGCTAGTTTGAGAAGATGCTGCAAATACGGCACACGGTTTTTTGTAAACTATTTTCCAGAGATTGAAACATATGTTGCCCAATACATTGTATCAGCTAGTGGCACTTGCATTCACACAAACTGGGATCTGCCACCTAAAATTGAAAAGCACAAACTTTTCTTCCAAGTTACACAAAATCATGGACTGCACATCCTCACTTTTCTAAACTACCTCTGTCAATATTTTTGATAACATTGAAGTACATACCGATCTCAGACTCTCCTGAGTGACGTCTTTGAATGTGACTTTGTAAAAAGGAATAGGTCATAAAAGCCTTTTCACAAAACGGACACTACAAAAACAAAACAAAGCAAAGACAAAAGCAAAACAAAAAAAAAAAACAGTTGAAAGCACATTAGTAAATATCTTTTTGGTAAATACAGTGGTTAAGGTTTTTAACAGGTTATTACATTTTGTTCATATGTAAAAACAAGGTAACTTTAACAAATTTCATCTCACAAGAACAAAAATTCTCATGGTACCCAAAGGTAAAGTAACAGTACACAATTCTCTAAGAAATGGTATGTGGCTATATTAGTATCCTAGAATCCTTCCGAAGCACAAAGTTGTTTCAATTACTGTTTCTATAATCTACCTAATAGTTTTGAATATAAATTTGAAGTCAAATTTGGATCCCACCCTTCTTGAAATATCCTTTTTGTTCACCTTCAAAGTACATTCTACTTATGTTCAGAATATATTAAAAATAGATGGGTAGTACAGGGACAGAGGCTACATCTACAAACCCTCCAATATAGTTTAAGACTGTGCATGAGGGCCTGTAATAATTTTTGGATCATTCTCTACCTCTATCTTATTTTTTTCAAATAAATACATTTTAACAAAGCACAGACACTCAAAAAAAGTAATTTTTACTTATCAGTGTGATATGACAGTAAGAAACCTGATCAAGAGGTTCAAGATCTTGTCACAATAATCAATGACAGAAGGAGGATCTGGGGAACTACAGGCCTTTCAGTCTGACCTTGGTGCCTGGCAATGTTCTGGAACAGATCATCTCCAGTGTGATCACATACAGGACAACCAAGTGATCAGACCCAGACAACATGGGTTTAGGAAAGGCAGCTCCTGCCCAACTAACCTGATCCTTTTATTATCAGGTGACCTACCTAGTGGGTGAAGGAAAGGCTGTGGATATTGCCTACCTGGACTTCAGCAAAGTCTTCAACACCATCTACCACAGCACTCTCCTGGAAAATCTGGCAGCTTATGGCTTGGGGAGGTACACTCTTCTCTGGGTTAAGAACTGTCTGCATGACAGGCCCAGAGATTGTGGTGGTGTCACATCCAGTTGGCATTTGGTCACTAGTCATGTCCACAGGGATCAGTGATGGGACAGCCCAGTTTATTGTGTTTATTGATGATTTGGATGAGGGGATTGAGTGTACCCTCAGTAAATTTGCAGACACAACCAATTGAACAGGAATGCTGATCTGATGGAGGGTAGGAAGGCTCTGCAGAAGGATCTGGACAGGATGGATTGACGGACAGAGGCCAACTTTATGAGGTACAGCAAGACCAAGCACCAGGTCCTTCACTTCAGCCACAAAACCCCCTTCAGCATTAGAGGCTTGGGGCAGTGTTTATAAAGCTGCTCAGTGGCAAAAGACCAAGGGGTGTTGGTCAACAGCTGCTGAACATGAACCAGTGTGTGCCCAGGTGACCAAGAAGACCAGTGTCATCCTGGCTTGTATCAGCAGTACTGTGGCCAGCAGGACCAGAGCATTGATTGTCCCTCCATACTCATACCTCAAATCCTGTATCCAGTTCTGGGCCACTCACTACAAGAAGGACATTGAGGTGCGGGAGCGTGTCCAGAGAAGAGCAATGGAATTGGTGAAAGGTCTGACAGGTAAGACCTACGAGGAGCAGATGAGGGGGCTGGAGAAAAGCCTGCAGAAAAGTAGGCACAGGGGAGACCTTCTCCCTCTTTACAACTGCCTGAAAGGAGGCTGCAATTACACAGGGGTCAGCCTCTTCTCCCAGGAAACAAATGACAGGACAAGAGGACTTAACCTCAAGCTGTGACAAGGAAGATTCAGGTTGGACATCGGAAGGAATTTCTTCATTAAAAGGGTGGTTAAACATTGGGACAGACTGCCAAGGGAGGTGGTGGAGTCATCATCCCTGGAGGTGTTCAAGAAATAAATGAATGCTGCATTTCGTGCCATGGTCTAGTTGACAAGATGTTGATCAGTCAAAGGTTGGACTTGATGATCTCAGAGGTCTTTTCTAAGCTAGATGATTCTGTGATTATGAGAAATTCACAGATTTCATTTTATATTTAAAGTGCTGCCACTGGTAGTCTGGTATCCTATAAAACACACTTTTCAGCAAACACTAAAGCCATGAATAATTATGACAAATTTTGTTGAGCAAATTCAAGACCTAATATAAAACCAAAATAAAGTGATATAGTATGGCAGCAATGCTTATTGCTGCCAAGAGGGAGCTTACAGTGTAACAGATTGCACATGATTTATAGAATTAAATTGGCTGTGAAATAATGTTATTCATTCAAGCACAAACGTCATGTCATTTTGACTTGCTGGTAGTGAAAGAAAGCTCTTACTGCAGTAGACAGGATTAACACAGAATATTTAGGTTTTGAAATATGCAACACTTTTCTTGCAACTACTTTTCACAGTGTTAACCACAACATGCATTTTATGCCTACATTGCACATGTGAATGTAAGACTTCTGAACAAAGTATCAAAAAAGTGGAAAGCATTATTTAAAATTAAATTTTTATTACTCACATGAGGGTACTGATGAACAAGCCTAAAATTAATGACTTGTAGGTATCAGTACCATTTTATAGTAGCATTTCATGGATAAACTTAAATTAGTGTTGGACTAAAGGCATTACATCTGAATTCCAAAATTAGCTGTAAAGGGCACCTCTGCTAAAAAACATTTGTATTATTTGTAAACAAATAACAGACTTATTTGTAAAACATCCAAGACTTTGAGGGCAAGGAATCTGAACTACCCTCTCAGGAACACCAGTTATTACCCCTATTATCTGGCAATGCAGATCATGGCACAGATAAATATCATACAGTTACTGTTTACTGCTCACACTGCTACCCTGCATTTACAAACACTAGGAAGAGTTCAATCTGTCTCTGGCATTCAAACTCAGAATCCTGAAAACACTGTAGGAACTTCAGGTATTGTTCAACATCATTCCCTGAACTCATTTTTCTCCTGTGAACTTCAATAACTACTAGAGAAAATAAATTACTAACAGAAAAGAAAGAAAGAGGGGAGATCAAAAGTTTACTTTATATGAAATCAAACTACAAATGCGAAATAGATTTCTATCTCTGTTTTACTGCAAATGCCATTGAACAGATTAGCAATGAGACAAGTTCACTACTATGTTTTTCAGCTTCCACAGAGACTGTTGCACACTACAAATGTTTCTGGAAAACTTGATAATATTTGGCAATCACAGTATGACAATTATTTAAGTTTACACATAAAATGATACACGCAATCAGTTTTCTTTTGCAACACAGGACAAACTGCTTTGTGAGTTGCATAAAGGTTTTTTAAAAAAAAAATAATACCATATCAGCAGCTTGTCCTTGAGACTAATATTTGAATGCATGAACCTTGCCTCATGTATAGTTCTACTCTTGGGGCATAAGGTAGCTTTTTCCTTACAGAAACACTTGAGACAACTTAGCTGATGTCTTAAACATTGACCTTTGTCTGTAACTTTAAACATACTAGCCTGAAATCATGTCAAGTCTTTGTGCAGTGTACACTTTAGACTTCAGATTACACCTGAGGCTGAAATTTGCATTCATGAAACCTGAAAATGCTGATGCTGAAAAAATACTTACATCAAACTACCACACCATTGTAGTGAGACAAAAAAATCCCTCCCAATAAAAACAGAGTGCCATGACATTGTCACTCAGAACAGCTATGTACTAAGGTTCTTAAGAAAGACACTTTGGGATCAGATTGTTGTGGAATCAGAGCTGAGCTAACTCACTGAACCCCTTTACCATCTTGCCTGAGTCACCTCTGAGTCATACACACAAGCAGAAACTTTGTGAAACTGGAGAACATCAGTGCAGGACAGTGACTTCTCACAGATCGCACATTACTGCTCAGCATCAGTTCTGATGCATTTTCTCCATTTGTTTTCTGACCATGCAGTTGACAGGCAAGGAAAGACAGCAACACAACAAAGTAGTAACATGTTTATCACTTTTTTTGTATATGTATCTGACATTTCAGATGCATCTAAATCGAATTTAAGAGTAAAGAGCACCTAGTAGTAAAAAGAGGATTTGTTAAAGATGATGTAGCATTCTCCCAAGAGTCTCTGAAACACAGATGGAAAACAAGTGCCAGCAATGCACTTCCTTTTGCAAGGTCACTGGTCCTTGCAGTTCCAGCCTTTCACCCAGCAAGCAACTGCATCCCAGCAGAGTGGGGCTGCCCTACTGCCCATCCCAGCAGGCTCAGAGCTGACAAGGTGTGTGTGACCGGGCCACCCTGCCCTCTCCTCTCACCTGGTGGTAGTTCGCTCGTGCCTCCAGCATCATCTGCTGGGTGCTGATCATCTTCTTCCTCCGCCTGCATTCTTCCTTGAGCCCCTGGATCTCCTGCAAGCGCTGGGCCACCTCCTTCCCCAACTGGTCACGCTGGGCCTGTGTCTCTCTCAGAGCCTCCTCCAGGCTGCCGAGCTGGGCGCTGAGGTACTCCTGGGAGTGCAGCAGGTACTCGGTGGAGAGCTGTGCCATGCGCAGCAGCTTCAGCAGCAGCGGGTCTGCGGGGCCCTGGCAGTGCGGGCAGCGCTCCTGATCGGCGCTGCAGAAGGTGACATGCTCCAAGTGCGTCTGCAGGACCGCCACGTCCCCATCCCGCGACACCCGTTCCACGTCCACGGTGCTCAGCCGCCGCCAGTCCGGGTTCTCGTGCCGCCCGCGGAACTGGAACGCGGGATACGCCGCCGGCCCCGCGCCGGTCTCGGCCGTCGGCGGGTGGTAGGAGCGCTGGGAGAAGGGCTGCGGGAGAGAGACACGG